TCAGGTGGAGGTGGAGGAGGGGGCGGAGTCTGTCCTGCTGCCGTTCAAGACAACATTACCTGAGGACCTGGAAGAGGTCACAGTGGAGTGGACAGACCGTAGAGACAGGAAGGTTCATGTGTATGAGACAGGTTCTGATCAGCCTGGAGGTCAGTCCAATGAAACCAGAACCAAGATGAACAAAGATGCTCTGAAAATGGGAGACTTCAGTCTGATTCTGAAGAATCCAACAATGGAGGACAGAGGATTGTACAGATGTAGAGTCATGATGAAGGACAACAAACTGCTGAGAATGAAAACAGTTTATCTCACAGTCAAAGGTTTGTCTTTCTGTCCATCAGTGTCTCTGTCCTTCTGAATTTTTATAACCGTGTTCTGATGGTTTTGTCTCCTCAGCAAAAACAGCTTCAGGCCAGAAGCAACCAGAGGACATCAGAACCAGAACCACTAATCAAACTCCTCTGCTGGCTGAACATGCAGTCTGATCTGTTAATTGATCCATCTTTGATCAATGATATTGTCTGACTTTGGAGCAGAGAGAAGATCTCAGTGAAGGTTCTGGTGGATGAAGAGAGACACTGGATCCAGTCTGTGACTCTGTATTGATCAGTATTGATGATTGAGGACTGGAAGCATTTCAGGTGGAAGAATCAGAACCAAACTGGGTTTAAAGCATCAGGTGGACGTTTCCACTGAAAGAACAGAACCATTGGAGGTTCTATGGTACCAGATCCAGCAGTGGTTCTGATCCTAAACCTATAACTGGATCCTTCCTGATCCTTCCTTTCACTAATTTTCTCTGATGCTGTGATATCTCTGATCTTCTTCATCTTCCTCCTCCCCTCTCTCTGCTTCTCTTCATCCCCTCTGCTTCTCTTCATCCTCTCTGCTTCTCTTCATCCTCTCTGCTTCTCTTCATCCTCTCTGCTCCTCTTCATCCTCTCTACTCCTCTTCCTCCTCCCCTCTCTCTGCTCCTCTTCATCCTCTCTGCTCCTCTTCATCCTCTCTACTTCTCTTCCTCCTCTCTACTCCTCTTCCTCCTCCTCTTTCTGCTCCTCTTCCTCCTCTCTCTGCTCCTCTTCATCCTCTGCTCCTCTTCCTCCTCTCTCTGCTCCTCTTCATCCTCTGCTCCTCTTCATCCCCTCTTCTCTCTATCCAGTCATTGTAATGGTGTTACATGTAATCTCTGCTTTAAAACATATTTGCTTATTTTCATGCAACTCATTTCTAACCTGCTTTTACTTAAGGAAAAGTAAAAAAAAAATAACATTAATAAATGCTGTAATTCATCATTTAATCATCTATAAAGGCAGAAATATCCAGGATATAAACCTATATATGTGTTCCATTTTTTTATCCAATGCAGAAAATGTTAATAAAAGCCAATCATTGTTTTCAGTTATCCTTTGAATTGCATCATTTTAACTCTGTAGCCAGTTTGAATCATTTTATATTGCTTGTTTTTAGTGAATATTTACTCCTCAATGTATTTTTTGCTTCTAAAATTTGTGAATTTGCTGTGATTCAATGTGACATAAAAACATGTTGGAGCACAAACAAATCAAAATTTTTATTTTTAAAGCAAAAGTTTCTTTCATGAAGTTTTTACATCGACTGATTTCTGTCCTATTTTACTTTGTAGTCTAATTGTCAACTGATTTAAAATGGAAACACCTTTTTTTTTTTTTTACGAAATCAACTGGTCCTTTTTTTTTTTTGTCCAACAGATCCACATAATGTTGAACAAAATCCATAACCTGCAGAGAAAACTTCAGCAGCTGCAGGAACTAGAAATTAAACAAAGGATTATAAAAAAAAAAAAAAAACATTGACCTTATTAAACAGACAAATGACCACAAATTACTGTTGATGGTCGTTAAAGTTGCTCATATGTTAGATCAACTGTTCAGAACCTTTGTTTTTTAACGCTATTCCTTTGTCAAAATCATTCACAAAGTTTTATTTTTCTTAATTCAATCATGTCTGAGTGATGAAATCAGTCCGAAACATTTCAAACACATTCAGTGATCAGCTGAGATGTCAAGTACACCTTAAATACTTAATTGCTGTACTTAACTACACTTTTTAGGTATCTATACTTTACTCCATTGCTTATTTTTCCTCCCCCTTCTGATTTCTATTCATTACATTTTCACGCAAGTATCTGTACTTTACATTTTTAAAAACAAACGTTACTCATTACTCTTGTATGGAAGGCCAACTGGTTTAAAAACACGCAAATTTTCACGCGCAAACAACACGTGATTAACGCGTTGTTTGCGCGTTGTTTTATGGCAAGCCAAGAAGGTCACATTTCGCATTGAATTGTCGCGTTAAGATTGAAGTTAACCCGCAAAAAACGCGCGTTCTACCGAGATTATGCCGTCTTTTACCTACAAGTGGCGCCTTTTACGCGTGTCATGATAGTATCGCAAGACGCACGTTTTGTCGGTATGAACGCGCGTTAAATACGTGCGTTCTGACCCAGACAACGCGCGTATTTAACGCGCGTTTTCCTAATATGATAATGATGTCCTTCCTTCTTTTCCCACAGCCAATGTATTTGAACTGGTTGCATCCAATGGCTGATCAAGGCAGCCAGACCAAGAAAGTTCAGCACAGATCTGCTTTGTGGAAAACTGCACAAAGCTCAATGTTGCAGCATTGCCAAAATTCACTGCATTGCCGTTTCACAAAGCCATAATGTTAGGAATATATCCACTACATACACTTTGCTGTTATTTTGAATCCATTCCATGCCTATTTTCATGTAAAAACGCTTTGCATCAACATGCATCGCCAACTAATGTTTTGTATTTACAGATATTAGTGGGAATGTTTCACCAATTATTACTACTGAGAGGTGGCGTAGTGGGTTAAGTGACCGCCTTCAATGCAAATCTTTTCCTTCGTTGCAGGTTCGAATCTGGCAGAGGCAGTCCGACTTTTCCCTTTATATTCTGTCTTGTGTCCAACCAAGCCCATTTATTTATTTATTTTTTTCTGAGAAAAAAATCATAAATGTAGCCTACTTCACTGTTTTTGATCCAACGCCATGCATTCCTTTATGTAAAAACGTTTTACATTGTGCTTATAAATTGACAATAAAGGGGCCACGTCTTCCAGAAAATTTGTTGGTCTGACTTGTTTTCTGTATGTTTTCCTGCATATCACTAACCTTTTCCCATAATGCTTTCTACAGCCTGTTGGGATCCGGAGGCTTGCCCACCAGAGGGCGCCGAGGATCCCTTCCTGAGGGCTTGTGCTCACCTGCAACATCTGTTTTCAATCTGCTCATCAAGAGGACTCCTACTTAAGAAAGAGGAGACTGACACTCCAGCGCCAGAGTGTTTGCCAGTAATGATTGATCCCAGCCTATAAATCTGAGAACCTGGAGAGTTATCTCAACCCTGCCAACATACCCATGAGGGGCCCATGTAGGTTGGATGTGGGCTAGTGAGTGGGCCCCAGCTGGGCAGCCCAGCTATTTTTGTCTGCGGGTTCCATGGTGGCCCCTTGTGGGCAAGCCCACATGGGCTAAGGGTGGGTTTCACATGGGCCCCACATGGGACCCACACTGGACCCTGGGCGGATTATGGGTCCTTATTATGTCCTACACAGGCTAGCCTTTATTATTACAGGCTATTTAATTTTGGAGTGGGTTCTTATTTTGTTATTGTTATTATTGTATTATGTATTATTTTTTGTGAATGCTGCATGTCAATACTTTGATGCAATCAACTGTGAGTTGCCTCTATCCACTATATAAAATAAAAATGCCATGCCATTATTAAAGCTTTTTTATTAAGTCAAATGGAATAAGTATTTTACAGATTAAATCAAATGCATAATACACACACAATATAATACAGATTATCACCAGTTGAGAAAGTTATACAGCTATACATCAAGAAAAAAAAAAGTGGTCGCATAACAAATGTTCTTTCGCTGAGCAAGAAGTGGATCTAGTGGGAAAAGGAGGGACTTGAGGGACCTGTCTGGCCTGTCTATTGCCTCCCCTGTCCCTTGATCCAATCAGCCATTTGGAAACTGCCCTCTCCACATCCTTCCTGGTGATCTGGCTGGTTAAGGCTTTCTTCTTTAAAGCTCCTGCAGGAACTATATGTTATGTTTA